AACAATTTGCAATAACTTTCGAATGCAATAATTGGTTTGAAAGATGAATTGATGGGATAGGAATTGATTGAATAAATAGAATGAAGAAAATAATTTAGATAAGATGAGATATATGGTTGGTTAGCTATTATTGATGGATGATGAATTGTAAAATGATTAGATGAGGAGCGCTTTTATATCCATTTTCACAAAAATTATAGCACCACCTCCTAAATATTTTTTTCTTTTTTTTTACAATAATGATGAAAATCTTTCTTGTAAAAATGTTATCCTAATTTTTCCTTTTTTTTTTTTTTTTTTGTTTTCTCACTTACTTTTTTTTTTTGTTTATTTTCTTTTCTTTTGTTATCTTTTTTGCCTGTCATTTGAAAGAAAAAAAAGTGTATTGTTATTTGCGCCATTTGAAGTGTAATTATGAAATTGATAGTAGTAGTAAATAATAGTGTGCAAAAAGGATTAATAGGCACTGATAGGTGTAATAGACAATTACCAAATTTTGGTGATATAAAACGAAAGGAGAAAGGATTGACATTCATGGATAGAACAGGTAATCAGATTTTCAGTTCTTTTTCTTCCCTTCTTTCAAATTAAATAGATTGTAACAAAATGTTTAGTTAGCGCACAATATTGGCATGATGACATTATTTTCCTTTTTTTTTGCGTTCTTGTTTGTTCATTTCGTTTTTTTTTCGTTCATTGGAATTTTTCTCTCATTTATTCTAATTTAATTTTTTTTTTTTGTTAAAAATGATTGCTCATTTTTTTTTCCGTTATCTAGATGGATTTGAACAGATATTTTGCCTATGTAAATAAATTCCATCACTTTTTTTGCTATCAATGAAAATATGAGGCAAAAATAAAGATGAGAATGCATTTTTTTTAATTATGATATTATATAAAAACATATAAAGTGACAAAAAGGAAATGAAAGGAACTGTGTAATTTATGATTATCAATCATTAAAAATATGCAATCATTACGACTTCTTGGAAATTATTTATTTATTTTTAATATAAAAAAAATATAATGTCATTACAAATATACACTAATTAAGATTTTTTACTAATTTCTTTTCTATCTTCATTTTGAAAAAAAAAAAAAAAAAACATAAAAGAAAATATGCAATTTGCACTTATCAAGTCATAGCAAATATATATTGTCATTCAAATTTTGTATCGAAGGAAAAACAAATGGTTTATTTATGTCTCACAATTTGTCATTTTCACACTTCAACATTGTTGATATGTAAATTTTAACAAAACCTGATTTTTAAAGTAATTTTTTTGCTTCCATTTTTTTCTTCTCTTTTATTTTTTATAATATATTATTAAAAATTGAAATATTTCCAGGATATTGTAAAGATGAGCAAGTAATTATTACTACTGATAATAATAGTAAGTAATGATCAGTTCATATGATAGTAATTTTTGAATTGTGATGACGAAGCTATTAAGAATAGAAATAATAATAATGAAAATAAATTTGGTAATAACAGGAATACTTGCGCTTCTATAATACAGTAAATTTAGTGTAAAAAAGTAAGTTTAGTAAAGTAATGTAGTATTGTTTTAATTGCTGATGTATTATCAGTAAATTTATAATTACAATCATAATGATTGTATTTGTAACACAAAGACAGGAAATTCTAAATCGAAACAAAACAATGTTACTTGTTATCGGTATTAAATCATTTGTAAATTGATGGTTAGAAAATATTTTTTAATCTATTTTGCAAATTAAATGAATATTTATCAAAAATTTGAGCTAAATATTAAAACTGAGAAAGAATGAATTCAATTTATCAGCTAATTAATAGTGTTAGATATAAAAAGTAGCAAAGAATAATTAGCCCGAAAGAGATGTTAATTGTGAAAAAATTAAATTCATCATATAAATACAAAGAAAATGATTAGAATTATTCGTAATAAAATTAAAATCATCTTAGCTTAAAACTTTTAAAATAAACTAAAACAATCTTAACTTTAAAATCTTTAAAGCTAATCTTGGCAATATTTCCTTTTTACTTATTTTACCTATTTTATAAATGTTAATAAAAGATCTAATTCTGCCTATTTTATAAATGTTAATAAAAGATCTAATTCTGAAAATGTTTAACTTGGAAAAACATCACGTTATTGCTATAAATAAAAATGAATCAAACTATTTTATCATTTTTTCGGAACAAAAATTAAATGGTAATCACTTTCGGCATTTCGTTTTTCTTCAGTTTTTTATTTTTGAAAAATAAAAATGAGGTTATTGTCCCATCATTTTTTGTTATTTCAAATATTGTTGAGACATAAACTTTAAATATGAAATTAAATTTTAATTTCTGCAAACTGTTGAGGCAAAAAATTCCATACAATAAAGATAACGTTTAAAGTTGCTAATGGTTTTTTAACAAAGAGGGGTAAAATGAGGATAACAATAAGATAAAAAACTCTGATCTTTATTAATTTTAATTAACTAATCAAGTTTCATTCATATTCAATGCCATCACTAGTGATAATTTTTATTAAAAATAACATCAAATTGGATAAACTGCTTGTCATTTAATTTTAATCGAAATTTCTATTCTTGAACAGAAAAAAGATTGTTTGTATGTTTCAAAATTGGCATTTACAATTGTTGGGGAATCATTTATTCCAATATTATTATTGAAAATTGTCGACGTAAAATATTGCCTTGAGCTAAAATAGCAAATCACATAATAAATAACCATAAAATTCAAAAAAGAATCAAAATCCACTTAATTGAATTTAAGCTCCTCAAACAATACTTAAAATAATTTCAAAAATATCGAGTTATTGTTGAAATATAATTATTATACAGTCATCATCAATTCTGCGCGACATATTACCAAGTCTTATCATCAATCATTCAGTGATCAATTATTTAAAAAACGAAACTGAAACTGGTTTAACTTGCTATAATTATGCATAAAAAATGCAAAATAAATGAATGAGGAATATTAGCATATTGATTTATTAGTTATAACTTCAAATTATAGGATTCGAACGATTAAATGTTGCCTGGACTTTCAGTTCCGTTTGTTATTTACATTTTTTGCTTTACGTTTGTTTTTTTTTTTTTTTTTCCTTTCAGTATTAGCGTCAACTCCGAGATTTAGTTAAATAATGTATGCAATAAAAAGCTTGAACTTTTGGCATGAAATATTAACTGAACTAAAAATAGATATATAATTATCAATTCTTGTGATATCAACATTTGTATCATTTTCATTTAATATTCCATTAAATTCGCATTACTGCATTTTTTATATTAATAAACTGTCATCATGAATTCTTTTAATTTTGTTTTATGGTGAGAAATTTAAAGCATTACCTTGTATACCTTGCATAATAAATGACAAAAATTTGTTTGCATGAATGAACTTGTAAAATTTTTTGCAAAAATTTGCTTCAATTAGATTAAATTAATATGATTTTCATACTAATTTACGTTTCATTCAAAAAATCATTGAAAAATAAAAACTCAAATAAAAATTGGTGTCAAATTTCTGTCTAAAACATTTTGCTACAACAAAAAAAGGTGATACACATGTGAAGAATACTTCAGCATGCAAAAAATCAGACTTAATAGTGTAAAAAAAACAAGTAAATAAAATTAATAGCTACAAAAGAACAAAAGAATGGACAGTTTTTTTCTGTCAGGAAAAAATGTAAAAAGATTTGAATCATTTATTTTTTTAAAATATTTTTTTCGTTAATTGAATATACATTGAAAAAAACAAAAGAATTTGAAAGGAGAAAACAAATTTATCTTCACTTGTATCAAAACGATATATTCATTAAATCATTTCTTATTTCAGTTCACCCATAATTCATTTTGAGACAATCTATAAAATGGTTCTTGATTCTTCCGCTGATAGATTAAATTTTACGAAAAAAAAATTGATGCTACCAGAAACCTGATGAAATTAATGTGAAATATCCTGAAATTAAAAAAAAAAAACTTATGAAAGAAAAATTTTTAAATCGGGATTTTTTTTAAGCAAAGGCTCTATTCTATCAAATTTCCCAAATACGGTAAGAATTATCTAAGTATAAAATTATAAGTAATTATTCATATCCTTTTCTAAAACAAAAGGCAAAAAATGTGTCACATCGGAAGCTGCTGTTAATCAAGGCAGAAGCTCTTAGCCAAATTTAGATATTTTTAGTTAATTAATTACATTTGAATTAACATATTGTCATTTTATTCTAATTAAGCATAAATGATTCTACAGTTAGCAATCTGTTAAGGATATTGTTTCTTCTTTTTTTTTTTGTTCTCAAGAAATGATACTTTATTATCATGAATAATAATAAATTTATATTCTTTTTAGTAGTATGATTATTTTTGAGGGATAAAGAAATAGTATTATAAATTTCAATAACTGTCCAATTTCAAAGATAAGCAAATGATGTTATTACAAAATTTAACTTGTTCAAATGTACCAAAGAGCAATACCACTGTGTTATTCATACATATTTCTTTATCGTAACACTTACATATCATTTAGTTGTAACATCTTTATTCAGTTTTTTAAAGAAATGAAACATGTTAATGATGAATACAAGTTTTTAATTTGAAAAAAAAAATATATATATATATTATTGCACAGTAATTGTGTTCAATTTAATTGATACAAATGAAACTAATTATTAATTCTAATTCCAAAACAAACATAGTTTTCTTCTTTTCTGTCACAAAAATTGTATTGAAACTAAAATATTTGTTAGAATTTTTTTTTTCTTCGCAAACCATTTTGTAAAAGAATGCTGCATATTAGTTAATTTAATAGAAAATTTTTGTTGTATTGAACTTCAAAATAAAAAGAAATAATATTAATTAATTAGTATGAAAGATAAAGCAAAAAAATATTTTGACAAAATATTGACTTTACTTTCTTTCCATAATTTTCCGAAAGTTAAAAAATCATTCACTACAAGATTTGCCTATTGCTGTAATCTGCTAATAATAATTCATCATGAATTTTATCCAGCATATTGGATAATTTCACCTCTATTTAGTTGCTCACCTATCCACCCCATGTCATACTGCTGTACACCATAAGCAGCCGATCCAACAGATTGTGGTTTTTTATATATTGGTTGTGGTTTTCCATATACAGGTTGCTGCGGCCGAATCACTTGACGTGGCGGAGCATATTGCGGCGGTGGTGCTGCGTATACTGGCAATGGTGCTGGTGGTATGCCGTAACCAAAACTAGGAGGTGGAGGACCACTGAAATAAATACTCTTAGTAAAAATGAAACGGAAAAAAAATTTTTGATGAGAGAACAAAAAATAAAAACTACAAAAAAAATAACAATGAGTAGAAAAGGCGTACCAAATTTTGTAAAAATCCATTACTATTTTTATATTTACTTTTCATTTAAAAGCAAAAACAATTTTTTTCTTGAGTTAAAAATAGGGAAATAAAAAAGCAAATAAATTAAAATAAGCAATTTAAAAAAAAATTTACCTTACTGGAGCCTTACTACAACCACCACAACAGCAACCAAAGCATGCAAGTGATGGTTGAATGGTCATTACAAATAGTAGTGCAATCACCTGAAATTAAAAAATATGAGGAAAAAAGAAAATGTGAAAAGAATAATAAAGAATCATGTAGAAAGAATATTGAAGTAAAAGGAAATTAATAAATGTGATCAATGTGACAACATATCTGTCCAAATAATAATTATCAGTAAGTATTTTTGCCAACCTATGTTAAATACCAAAATTTGTTGGAATATATTATTATCCATGAATGAAAAAAAAAAAAAATTGAATAATACTTTAGTATAACAAATAGAATGTTAAAATGCATAGGAATTATTGTAAACCTTAACAAAAAAAAAAAAACAGAAGAAAATAAGAAAAGAAAAAAAGAAGTCATTCTATGCAATCACTGCGAAATATTTTGATATCTCCATTTCGCGCATCCAATCCATCCAATTATTATCGTTTTTTTTCTTCAAAAACTAGTATTTGAAAATTCTATTGTTAATTAGGAGGCAAAAGATAATAGTTATTCATTTATAATATTTCAAAAATTATGCCAACAAGAAGCAATACTTCGATTTATTAAATCATATCAAAGTACTTCAAGCAAATATTAGTGGTTAAAATAACAGCAGCTAGAATTTTATAAAATATAGAAATAAAGTTTGGAAATTTTTTTTTTTTCACTGGCATATTTTTTAAAATTAAAAAAGTAAATAAAGAGTAGCTTTTTTCTTCCTGAAAAAACATTACATAAATTTTACAACAAACTAACACATAAGGTGTAGTTCCCACGGTCTATTAGTGCTGGCATGAATGAAAGTAATACAATATATTTGATTTTGACAAATTGAAAGCTATTGTCTACGAAATCGCTTGAGGTGAAGTTCAGCTGAAAACAGTTAGGACTGGCAGTGGATATGTTTAATAATGATATCTGAATTGGTTTGGAAAATTATTATTATTATTAATATTATTATTATTATTATTATTATTATTATTATTATTATTATTATTATTATTATTATTATTATTATTATTATTATTATTATTATTATATTATTATTATATTATTATTATTATTATTAATTATTATTATTATATTATTATTATTATTATTATTATTATTATTATTATTATTATTATTATTATTATTATTATTATTATTATTATTATTATTATTATTATTATTATTATTATTATTATTATTATTATTATTATTATTATTATTATTATTATTATTATTATTATTATTATTATTATTATTATTATTATTATTATTATTATTATTATTATTATTATTATTATTATTATTATTATTATTATTATTATTATTATTATTATTATTATTATTATTATTATTATTATTATTATTATTATTATTATTATTATTATTATTATTATTATTATTATTATTATTATTATTATTATTATTATTATTATTATTATTATTATTATTATTATTATTATTATTATTATTATTATTATTATTATTATTATTATTATTATTATTATTATTATTATTATTATTATTATTATTATTATTATTATTATTATTATTATTATTATTATTATTATTATTATTATTATTATTATTATTATTATTATTATTATTATTATTATTATTATTATTATTATTATTATTATTATTATTATTATTATTATTATTATTATTATTATTATTATTATTATTATTATTATTATTATTATTATTATTATTATTATTATTATTATTATTATTATTATTATTATTATTATTATTATTATTATTATTATTATTATTATTATTATTATCATTATTTGCTGTCATTTAGTGTTATTACCACTACCAATACTGTTACTGCCGGTTAATATTATAATTTGCAAAAATTCGAATTCTGCATCTTTCTTTTTCATATCAATTTCACACATTTAATGAAGTGAACAGATGTATTTGATGTTTTTAATTATTTGAGTATAAAAAGAATATACAAGAAAACTTTTCAAATGACAAATAAAAATTCGAAAACAAACAAACTAATAAAAAAATCATAACACAGTAGCAAACGCACGTTTCAACTGCAAAAATTTACTTACTTTTCGTGGTATTAATCTTTTGGGAACTGGAAAAGTTGAATTTTAATTACTTAATGTCCTAAAATAAACAAATGAGAAATTAATATGAAGCCAAATTTGATCAGATTACACTCTGATATAGTCTTATGCAAAAAGTTAATTAATTGCTGTTCATCGAAGTTGCTACAACCCTATAATATGTTTATATTAGCAACACTGCTAAAATCAAAATTTTTCAACAAAATTTGAATATTTTAAAACTTTTTAAGACTTTTTTTGCTTAGTGTCATCCCAAACTAATAAATTTTTGATACTTCAGAAAATTTTTAGGCTTAAGTCATAAGGAGACAAGTCAGTAAACGACTATAACTTTCAACTTCGTGTTATTGTTGAAAAAAATTTGTCATTAGTTAAAATTCCTACAAAGCTTTAAGGACTCTAACTTACAAGCTTAAAGCATTTGTAATAGGAAATTTTACTTTTCAAAAATAGCAGCAAATAAAACTAAAATTTGGGGGAAAAATAATAAAAATATGTACACTATATAAGAATATGTAAACAATGATTTAAGATAATTTTTCTTATGTCGATTCATTATGTCGATAAAATGACGGCGGAGTATTACTTTTATCCTGTAATTGTGAACTGAAATATAACACCTACTTTCTGTTCCTAAACTCTAAATAATTGATGGTCCATTTAAATGTGAGATCTCAATTGTCACTTTAATGTGCAAAATTTAATGCCAGATTTTACTAATGACGTCGTCAATGATGTAGCGTATTTTCGGTTCATTTCTTCAAATTTTGTTTTAAACAGTATTTCTGAAAAAAAAGAGAATAAAGGAAACGGGTGAAACGAAACTAGATTTCATTTTGAAGAATGTATAACGAATAAATAAAAAATGGTAATATGAATGTAAGTCTTTTCAGATATCGTGAATAAAGAAAAAAGCTACTGTCCAAGGATAGTAACTAACTTTTTATGACGCAAAAATAAATTACATTGAAGAATGTTTTAGGAATAAAGGAAAATCAGGCGTGAATCAAGGAATTTAGGGAAAGATAACCAAAATAAGATCAAAATGAAAACGAAGTGTGACATTTCTGTTCGGTAATGCCCCCTGGTTTCTAAGCTTCCAACCGTTTTCTTATCTATCCCATCCTAATGTTCATCCTGAAATTTGTAAAAATAAAACATCTAAAATTAACATCTACGAGTTTTGCTATTTAGGAAAAGTATTATATCGATTCGTACTTATTTGTCTCATAATTGTTTCGTTTTCAAATACATCAAATACAAAAATAAATGAATAAAGTTTGAAAAATGTCCCAAAAGACCAAGAGAAACGGAAAAAGCAAGGGACAAAAAATCAAAAAAAAAAAGATTCAAATACAGGTAGTTTGCAAGTTCACGTTTTATCGAGCATTCTTGTTTCCTCATATCTTGTTGTAAAATTAAGGAGCTGAAAAAAATCTCTAATAAAATTCTGCTTCATTATTTGAATTAAGTGATATATTAAGTGACAGAGCAAAACTGTGGTGAACAAAATCCAAATCTCAAAAAACACAAGTCTCCTTGGAAAATTTACAAAAAAAAAAAAAAAAACTGTAACAAAATCATCAAATGATAACAATGTCTTTTAACAAAAACGTTACAAAATAAGAGATTAAAATAAAATCACTGAATATGTTGAATGCACAACAACTATATGATAATGATGCAGGTATGATCGACAGTTTAATTACCCAAGTTTGAGGTAATTGAATGTTTCGGCCCAGAGTTTAGGCTACTGTGGCTTGAAGTAAAATTTTGAAACGTCCTGCATATTTGTGGGACAATAATCAAATGCGTTAGCAAGAATGAGATTTTGCTCAGGTTTTATCATTTGTATATATCTATCTGTATTACTTTGAATGCATGAAGATCGAAATTTTTCTCTACTTGCAATCTGTTTTGTTCCAGTGATAATGTAAATTTAGCAATTGAAATATTCTTGAATAGCAAATGTTGCTTGAAGTGAAGTAAAAATGATCGCTACAATAAATGTGTGCTATTATCGATTCGATGTGATTTATGCTTCAACATATTTGTAACAATAGTCTACGACCATACCACGTTGAAAGCACGACATCTCGTCCGATCTGTCAAGTTAAGCAACGTTGGGCCTGGTTAGTACTTGGATCGGAGACGGCCTGGGAATCCCAGGTGTTGTAGACGTGTTTTTGCTGTTTTTTACCATGCATTAAATGCAATAATACAAAAAATGGTTCATAGCACTTTTTATTTGATCTGTTTGCCGAGAAATAGTCAGCTGAATGTTGAATGCACAACAACTATATGATAATGATGCAGGTATGATCGACGATTTAATTAACCAAGTTTGAGGTAATTGAATGTTTCGGCCCAAATTTAAATTATATTAAAATTGATTAATTTATTAGAGTTTTGCATATTAATCCACAAAATAAATTGTAGTAGATATCAAAAACTAGTTTTAAATAAATGTTGAAATATTGAAAAATATCAATTCATTTAAAAAAAAATGGATATTCTGAACTTAATTGATTAATTTGTGTGCATTGCATAGGTACTGGTCGCATACATTGTGGTCATTTGACAAGCATAAATATTAAAATAAACTTTAATAATTAAGTTTTAATCAATATTTGATTAGCAAAACTATTTAAATTTTTAATTTTTGACGGTTATAATTCATTCCCGAAATTATAATTAATTTTTATCTCAAACTTAAAAATTAAATTTTATTAAAATTCATTAATTTAACAGAATTTTGTATATTAATCTACAAAATAAATTGTAGTAAATATCAAAAACTAGTTTTAAATAAATGTTAAAATATTGAAAAATATCAATTCATTTAAAAAAAAATGGATATTTTGAACTTAATTGATTAATTTGTGTGTCGCATACATTGTGGTCATTTGATCAGCATAAATAATTAAATAAACTTTAATAATTAAGTTTTG